AATTATTAAAGATTTAATACTTTTATTTAAAGTTTAAACTACAGGATTGCCTTTTTAAATAAAGTTGAACTTCTAAGAAATTAATTTCTTAAAATTAACTAATATTTTTTGGTATACTTTGAAAAGGTCTTTATACAATTTTCCAATATAACATCTATCAAGATAATTGGAACTCTAACCGCAACTGTATAAAGTAACCCTTATTCTGAATTTTCATATTGATGAGGGGTAAATAGGAATAATTGCTTTTTGAATATTGTTTGATTTTCTTGCTTTCTTTTGGATATAATTGAACTGTCATTTATTTAAATTAAAATTCAATATGTAGATCATTTTAAACATTTATTTCTTAAATTTAAATTTTTTAAATCGAGATTGATGCAAATTTATTTAAATGATATTATAGAATGCATACTTGAATATGATTTCATTTCAAATTCGCTTTTGCATAAATTTTGATCTTACTCAAAGACAAAAGTGGAGTTATTTTTGAAATAATGATCAATAATGCTTTACTTATAATGAGAAATCTTTAAATTTTTTGGATCCCTATAATTTTTCTTTTTGTAAAAAGAGAGAAATGTATCCAATCTAATTCACACTCATAATTTATTCACAAAAAAAAATCATCAAAATATATTGTAGTACAATTTTCATATTAAAAGAGATTTCTTGTATATTCAAGAATATAGAATTAACTGAATATCACACGATCAGAAACTTTTAATATTGATGAACTCATTTACTTTAATAACTACAATTCTTATTGATAGAAATGAGATTTGATATTAAAAAGGGACATTAAATTTTTTGTTTGGAACACTGTATAAAATATACAAAGATCGAACCTTTAGTTTTAAAGAAATATTGCATAATTATCTAATCATTAAAAAACACAGATTTTCCTTAAAAGATAAAGCTCATTTAGATTTAGGATCTAGTTCTAATAAGAATAGTTAAACACTATTTGTAGAATTTAATTTTATTAAACTAAAGTTTAAACTAATCAAGCTGATATTTCAAACGACTCTCTTTTAAGTAAGGTTTAGGTATAACATGATATGAATATCAATTCTACAAAATGTTGTTTACATTTATATTTATATTAATAAAAATATTATAATTATTAAATATATCAATCAATTAATAAGTGATTTGTTATACTTGAGCATGAAATAGTGATATTAAGACTCTGAGCATGCAAGTTCCTTAATTTATTTCAGCAGATTCTCAAATTCAACTCAAATATTGATTAGAAAATTTAGTTGAAAATTATGGTTGATAAAATGTTGGCATGGTGTAATGTCTTTTGATTTGACAGAAAAGCAATTTATTAAATTAATGACTTCACTTCTAAGAAATTTCATTAAATTTCAGTAATAATAAACAATGCTTTAGATCAATGAATAAAGATTAAAATATTTCATCTTTATTTCCAAAAATAGAGTTTTATAAACCCACAGATTATAAGTCTTTTACGATTGTAAAGCCCTAGATATTGAAAATCAAAAAGTGTCAAAATATAATAATTCCTTTTGATTAAATCAAAATTTAAGATTTTATCATTTTTAAACTGTTAATTCTTATTGAACAATTCAAAGGTAATAAAAAGAAATTACAAGTAGTTTAAACTATGAGAGCTAATTATTTAAACTGATTTCAGGAAATTAATGTCTTAATAAATAGATAGATTTGTAATAATAAAAAACTTATTCTAACAACTTCCAAGCTAAGCTTTTGCCTTGTATTCAGGATTTATATTGATGAAATAAGAATTCTTTTAAGATGAACATCATTACTATAACAATAGGGAACTATATTAGATTTTCATCTTCTTATGGTTTGAAAATAAATCTCCTTGTTAATTTATCACAAATTTCATAAACTCATAAAGTAAAGATGCAAATATACACTTTGCCTCTTCAAATTAGCAGTCTAATAGGGAGCTTAATTCCTAAGGTATTTTATAAATCACATAGTAGGGAATCGTAATTCTTATTTCAATAAACTAACATTAGACTTCATGAATATCCATATAAAAATGATCACAAGAATATTACGTGAAAGCAATATCGGTTCATGATATCAAAAGCTTATAAATTTTGCAAAAATATAAATTTTACATTCTAATTTTAAAATCATTTTTCATGCTCTCAAATTATTTCATTAAGACTTCCAAATCTCCAAGATAAGATTCTTCACTATAATTTTTATTTATATTTATCTTAAATACTGTCTTGGTATCAACCCTTACATTAGTTGAATTGATGAAAGGGCATTGGGAATTTTTTACTCAAATATTCAAAACCTAATCAAAGTGAATACCTATGATCAGATGTACTTTTATAATTTATTTGATCCCTCGCTTTAAAATTCAGATAATTGTTTCTAATTCAAAAATTATTTTAAAGAATTGTAATTTTATTTTACAAAAATTTTTATTCTTAATTTTACTTGAAAGACTTATAGGAATCTTAAATTCTTTCTGGATTTATTTTTAAATTAAATTGTTTCTAATTTTAAGAATATAAAATGAGATTAAATTTGTAAATGAATGTATATATATTTTATTAATATTGTGTTTAAAAATGGAAATTTTTTTGATATTTTTAGGAGGTCTAGTTTATTAGATAAAATCTAAAACGACAGAGTGCTAAGAGTTAAAAATCCAATCTGAAGTAAATTGCTATTAATACCTTTCAAATTGCTTTATTTTAGAAGGAGATGAAGAAAATTATTCAAACCACTACCCCCGCGTATGAGTCGCCTATATGTTGAAGTAGAGTAG